AAAAAAAAAAAAAAAAAAAAAAAAAAAAAAAAGCTCACAAACAACAAAAGGACAAATGGCCGTCTCTTCAGCAAGCTAATTTTGTGAGGAAAAAAAAATGCAGAAGAGAAATTTATATTAGATACTCAAGACATATAACAACCCAATGAATAGGTGACCTTCAACTGAATCTCAGTTTGAATACAGGTAACTCAGGTGAGGGGGTGGTGCTAGGAATAACCACTACTGTACAGGCACACACCTACAATCTCAGCACTTGGGAGGCTGAAGCAGGAGGACTGCTGCGAGTTTGAGGCCAGCCTGGGCTACAAAGTGAGTTCAAGGCCAGCCTGAACTGCATAGCAAGACCCTGTCTCAAAAGACAAAAACAAAAACACAACTGAATTGGAGACCATCCTGGCCTACATAGTTAGAGGCCAGCCGGACTACATACAGATACTCTATCTCAAAAGAAACCAAAGCAAAAATTAAAAAATAATGACTGCAAAGAGTTAAGGTACAGGTCAAGCAACGAACAAATGGAAACAACAGATGCACGCCTGATGTTCAAAAAATCTGGCAGTGGAGAGAAACAAACGACAGGTTTTTGTTTTGTTTTGTTCTGTTGTGTTTGAGGCAGGGTCTTACTATGTAGCCCAGGCTGGCCTCAAACTCACAGGGATCTTCCTGCCTCAGCCTCCTAGTGCTGGGATTACGGTCATTCCCCACCACACCTGGCAGCCATCGGTTTTTCAGACAATTAGAAAGTGAGCTCATGAGTCACAAGAGAGGAATGAAAAGAGAGAGTCACAGAGAATTAGAAAAGGTTGAAGGAATAGCCATGGAGAATGTAAGGACACCAGGAATAAGTAACTGGAGAGAAACTGTGATCGTGACAGAAGTTAACATTGTACTCAGTCTACGCTTTTGGTCCAAGCAATATGCTATAGTCTAGAAGTTAAAAAAAAAGAGCTGCTGGGATATGATTCAAGATTTCAGAAGTGCTTGTTTAGTACAGAAGATCAAAATCAGTGGGAAAGCCTTGGGTTCAATTCTCAATACTGAAAAGAAAATACTATCCAAGTGTTTGGTCATAAGAGATCTAGCTGGGCAAAACCAAATGTAATCATAATAAGGTACGATGGCACTGGCAGACTCAGTGAAATGAGAAGCAAAGAACTAAGGCTGATGACACAGTTGGCATAGCGTGCTCAAGGCCCGAGGTTTGAACTCCCAGCACTACACACACACACACACACACACACACACACACACACACACACGTAAAAAGAACCAGAGAACCTAAAGAAGGCAAAATGTTGCTTCTGAGCCAGGCATGGTGGACATGTATGTAATACAGAACTCTGGGAGGCTGAGGCAGGAGGATTGCAAACTCAACCTTAGCCTGGGAGCTCAGTGAGACCTTATCTCAAAATTTAAAGGGGAGGGGGTGCCTGGAGCTGTAGCTCAGTGAGAGGGTCCTGGGTTTATGCTCCAGTATGAGAGATGGGGAGGCTGCTTCTGTGTGTTTGAAGTGGTCAAAAAGGTGACTGGTAAAGAGATTAAAGTAAGTGATGAGGAGTACCTGAAGAAAAACTGTCACAGAAGAGGTCATAGATGAGGCTATAAGCGATTTTACTGTGTACCTGGTTTGAAAATGCAAAGGTAAAGACAGGCGTGGTGGCGCATGCCTGTAATCCCAGCACTCGAGAGGCTGAGGCAGGAGGATCATTGCAAGTTCGAGACCAGCCTGGGCTACAAAGTGAGCTCAAGGCCAGCCTGAACTGCATAGCGAGACCCTGTCTCAAAAAGACAGAAAAAAAACAAAGGTAAGTCAATGGTCTCATGCTGAGGAACCAGGATACTGGAAAATCCCAAAGGTGCTTGAGATACTGAGAATGACAGCAAGAAAACAATGGAGGAAAAAAATTGGTTCAAGAGGTCTGGGTTGCCGGCTGTGGTGGCGCACACCTGTAATCCCAGCACTCAGGAGGCTGAGGCAAGAGGATCCTTGAGAGTTCAAGACCAGCCTGGGCTACAAAATGAACTCAAGGCCAGCCTGAATGACCCTGTCTCAAAAAGACCAAAATAAACGAGGTCTGGTTCCTTCTGGGCATTAGAAAATGGTACTGAAATTTTAGAGAAACTACTATAGCCACATGTCAGTATCCTCTATAAGGATTATATGACAGTGACAGGGCAATGATCCCAAAGTAATGAAGGAAAGCAAAACAGTAAAATAAGCAAAAAGCAACATAGTAACAGAGAAAAGAAAATATCTTTTGGTAGGAAGGTAGGGGAGATGTAATGTTTAATTTTTTTACTAAGTCAAGGCTAAGGGTACAAATATGTGTACTCGACGATAAGTACTATTTTCTTTTTCTTTTTCTTTTTT